GAGAGAGAGAGAGAGAGAGAGAAAGAGAGAGGTAAGTCTTACATCATAGAAGTGTTGTGCAATTTGGTTAGTGGTGGAATGGAAGTGTGTTGGGAATACTGCAAAATATAAATAAATGAATATATTAATTTAGCAAACCAAAGTTTTAGCCATCGATTTTAGCCCTTCATTTGTTGGAAATTAAACTATCATTTCATTCTTAAAACATTCAGATGAATAGTTTGAAGTCTAAGATGTTAGAATATCAATATTGAAATTCGATTGCTCTTTAATTTTTTTAGAATGGTTGAATCATTCGATTAAATAGTGGTTAATTTTTGATATTCTATATTGAAAAATCAAAATTAAAATGAAATTTCATTCATTCTTGAATAAAGTAGTTTGGTTGGTTCTTCTTATTTATTACTAATGTAACATCGGGTGGGTGCATGTTTCGTTCAATTAACACCATTGGTAGTTTTGGTTTGTTACCTTGAAATTGAATTGACCGAATCCAAATGAATTATAATTATGATTGTGCAATTAACTTCTGAAAATATAAAGTTTACCCTGCCACCGTCATCATTCACCATTAGTAGTTAGTACAAATCTTCTGTGCATTTACTCCCTCCTCTTTATTTCATCATTTGTACTCATTTTCTTGAAATTGGGAAAGTATGAAATCCATTATCATCAACTGAATAGCTCGACCAAAGTCCCTCGTGGAATTTTACCCAATGTTAATCAAAATCCCATTGGATTCCTTCCTTGAACAGTAAGTTGCATTAAATGAACCAAATATCTTACAAAAAAATTATTGTAAATAGCTTATGAAAATTTATAGATTGTCTGTTTTGGCATAAAAGGAGCGAATTAAAACACAAGTAGACAAAGTTACGTTCTCTTCGTATCCTAATATTTTGGTTCATTTTGATTTTCTGGCGTTGAGTCGATAGATTTTTGTCATTTGTACATCTTTTGATTTTTAATTTGCTGGGATATACCTAGTGTACTTGTACCTGAATTTTGATGAATGAAATTTATATTTATCGATATAAATAATAATAATAATAATAAAAGGAACAGTATATTCAAATGCCTCCCTAAGCAGTTAAGACACGACATAGAAGCCAAAAGGCAGTGGCTTTACCCTATCTTTTCTTATTATGACGTGCCCAACGACCCCTTTTACGTGACATGCATGCATTTATTTCAACCTCGCCTCCCATCCCATTTCCTACCCTTGTGAAGGAAAATGACACAAATCTAATTATAAGTGTGACAATATTATTTCAAACTAGAAATCGCTTCGGCACTGAAATTGAAATTAAATATCAAATCTGTACAGGAAGGCAAAAGAAGCAAAATTTTCCTGGCGGGAAATAATCTTGGAATTCCACTACAGTCCAATTCCCTCTGGCGCATTAACATCTGATTAGTCTTTTAGGTCCAAATTATTGGCTAATTGTTGCAACAATCACCATTATCAGCAGCTCAATGCTTCATATTTCATTGGCATTGGACGGTTAAATCCAGCCTGAGAAAGCAAATTGCCAACCACAGTAAGGTCCCTGCAGAAAATTCCTTGAAACACCGATGTTGGTGGTGTTGTAATGGCTGCATTGTTCTCGATCCGATGAGTCCCACTGCCATTAGATGTATCTGAAATGGCCACCGGAATTGATTCGACTCTGGTGGAGCATTGCTCTTGAGCCTGTTGAACTTGCATTACAGCCTTTCTTTCCTTTTCAGTCACCTCGTCATCCAAAATTGTCCCCATTACACTAGTATAACCCTTCTTAATCAATCTATACAACAGCAAAGCAGACATTTTTGCTCTATCGCTAATTGAATCTATATCCCCATCATTTGCAAATTCACATTTATCAATGAAACTGGAAGATTTATCAGGTTTGTGTCTAAGTGTCAACAACAAATGGGCTCTTTCAAGTTCTGATCTTGAACAACCTCGTTTTAATCCAATCAAAGCATAATAGTCTACATTCCCAGTTTCACCAGCAGCAACCCTTTGTTTCAATTGCTGGATTTTCGCAGCTAATGAACAGAGTTTTCCAGGAATTTCCATGTATTGAATGTTCTGGCGCTTCCACACTGGTCCGGGCAGCTTTCGATCTCGTAGAATCGAGTTGTACAAGAGTTTCAAATGCTCTAGATCGTGGAGACTATCAGGCAAACATCTTATGGTTTCAAATAAGGCTGCTCTCACGGTAAGAGCCCGAATGCAAGAAGGGTTCAATGCTAAGGTTCTATTGCAATCTGCAATTGCCTCTGCTATTCTGCCTGCTGATTGATAAGCCGAGGCACGGTGTACATAGCACTCGGCCAAGAACCCCTGCGGGGCTCCACGGCGGCCGTCAACAATTTTTGAGAAGTGTCGAATGGCTTCAGAGCAAAGCCCGGCATCCAGGGCGGCCATTGCGGCGGTCTTACGGTGGATAAGGAGCTTGATATGGCTGAGAAGCTGGGAAATTTTCTCGGACTCTGTTTTTGGAGGCGTTGAGGGTTGTTGGTTGTTGATTGGTGTTTCACCGTAGAGTGGGAATCTGTTGAAGGAAAAGCTGTCGTCCGACCAGCAAATGCTTTCCCGGCGGAACGCTGCCGTGGCAAGGCGTTTTCCGGTCTGAAGTAGCACCATTGCATCCTCCATCAAGCCCAGGTGGCAACAAGCTTGACCCAAAACCAAGTACCTGTGCGGTAAATTTCGACAACAGACTGAGTAATTCCAAATTTATTAAAGATTTTTTGACATTTTAATACGTAATAAAATTAAATTGGGATTATCCAAATTTCACTATCTGCTGCCTTACCTCCATTGGCCTTCTTTGTTGACGTTTTTACAGAGTCCGGACATGACTTTCTTCTTCAAATCCGAGACAGAAAAGCACTTAAACGCCGGTTCATTTTGACCCAGTGAGTCAACAATGCCGGAGAGAAGTTTCCCTCGCTCTCTCGACAGCTGACTGGACGAGTTATCCGAATCCTCATCAGAATCCATTTTCAGGCTAGGAATATAGTCCTGCAACATATCAGCCACCTCCTTGAACCGCCGCAGAGAAAGCAAACATCTCGCCTTAAGCTCCAACGCCACCTCCATCCGTGGCGAAATTGCTAACGCCGCTTCAAGCAGGCGTAAAGCTGCTACAGTCTCTCTTTGTTCCTCCGTCGCAATCAGCATTTTCGCATCCCTCACATACCTCTCCACCATCTGCATTACATTTTCAATATTATTCCATTTACATATGAATACAAGTAACTTAATGGGTTAGAAAATTTTAGAAAAAAATTACCTTTTTATTGGTGAGCCACCAGTGTTTCTTCTCTCCACCGGCAAGAGACGACGGTGATGCAGCCATGGAAAGTATGCAAGAAGATTCAACCATTAACCTCTCTTGCCGCTTCTTTCTGCGTTTGTGTTATAGTATGATATTGAAACATCACAATTTCCCTCTTACAGATAGAGGGGAAGAGATTTATATCTACTATTGAAAAATTGCAGGAGAGAGAGAGAGTAAATAGGAGAGATGAGAAAGAAGAAGGGTATTTAAACAACAAATGCCAGATTTGACCTCAGATGAGAGAAAGAAAGCTTTCATCCTACTACATCATCGCTGCCACCAAATTCCCTCTGTTTCCAACTCCACATTATAGAGAGGTCCAGAGGCTAGTCTACGGCCTAGAAGATTATTAAACATAGATATAATTCCCTTTTTTTTTTCCCCCCTAATTTATAATAATGTGTTATCTTTTTCTCCATTAATAAGTATTGATTTTCTCAAATGCATAATATTCTATAAAAACAATTTACTACGCAAAGAGTCAAACTAAAGTCACAAATTCTTGAGTACAACTATTCGTTTGTGTATACACGTACAATAGAAGGTAGTGTCAATAAAGGACAAAAGTGAAGTACATAAATATGAATAGGAAATAACTGAGATTTCGATAATGGACAGCTTGAACTTAAATTTGGATGTTGTTGTTTATGATGGGAACTACGGGCTTGGTGCGATAATTTATGATAATCACGGTTTGATTCTCCAAACGTATATTGAGTCAGTTTTTATCGAGTTATGCAGCAACATTTGCGCTTCGCGAAGATGTACCCTTCACGAAATAAGTAGGCTGAAGAAGGTCATTGGCTTTTCAAGTGAGCTAGGACCTTAAATCTGTGTGAACACGTTTGCGCCAAATGCACCAGTAACTTTTGATATTGTAGCATTATGTACATGCTATTTTTCCTACGTAGGAACAAATTAGGTCATTGGCTTGTTAGTATTTATAATACTCTAGTGTTGTATTTTTTTATTTTATTTTTTTACAGTATAACTGTTCAATTTTATGAGCTTAGGTTCAAACCCAATGATTAATTTCTATTGTATTTGATAATTGATTATGTAAGAAGCCCTTGATTAGCTAGTATCTAAACGAAGTAATGTTATTTATCACAAATGAAATACTAAGAAAGTGACAATGGAGCCCGACTTCACAATTGGTAATAGACAACGTCAATGTGGATTCTTGGCTCCAATGATGTTAAACTTCGCTTGCGACTAACAACATTATTAATTGACATCGCATCGTGTGGCGGTAGTAATTTATTTGCTATAAAGACCAATCCATAATTAGTTTTGGAATTTCTTCCAGTATTTTTTAAGTAATTATTTTATGGAATGTGTAATAATTTAAGATCATATAAATATTTTACAAGAAACTATTACTTAATCAATAGCCTTTAAGTTAGTCAAATTGATGTTAAGTCACGAGTTCATGCCTCATGAGTACAACTATGATTCATACAATGGAAATCAAGATTTTGGCGTTTATTATTATAGAAGTGCTAATTACTTGTAACAAATACATTATTGATTCCAATTGACATAAAGTTATAATTGCATTAACTTATCTGATCTAACAATTATTTACTTCCAAAAGAATATAAATAGTAGCAGCCATCCCCGTATTTATTATTATTATTAATCTTTGGGTAGCCTGAATCTGGACCCATAGCTATAGGTAAATAAGAAAGGAAAAAAAAAGGTTGAATCTCAATCTTGAGGACCTCATCGCCCCACCCTTAGAGTTTTGTGAGGGAGGTAAATAGCGGAACGTACCTCAGTAGGTCAGGGAACAATAGCTGCTTGTACACTGCGCCTACAAGAAGTCCAATTCCATATCTCAGGAATCGAACTTTCATACTGCGGCTACCAGCAAAACTTGAAATAACCTCACTCCTATCCTTTACACCACTGAGCTATGTCCCGTGGGCAGCTATAAGTAAATAAGATGGCACCAAAAGAATGAATTATTTAGTTTGTACAATTAATGTATTTAAAAAAATATGTGACAAGTAATAACGTCGGACAAACGCTACGCTACTAATAAAAGATAAAGGAAGGTAGCTTGTTAATTAAATGGTCATTTATGAATTATAAGAGTGCCATTAAATTTTCATCCAATTTTCACGTTTCACATTTATGAATTCAAGCAACAACTTAGTCCTAACTTTTAATAATGGTGAAAACTGATCATCTGTCTCTTGGACAATTAATCCTCAACGCTAGAAACCATTGGACTAATTGAAATGTGACATTGACAAGAATTCATTATGAAACTTTAATAAATTGTTTAGGGTAATTAGCACAAAACATCCCTACCTTTAATTGTTTTTGTGGAAAACGTCCATACCTTTCATTTTTTTGTGGATTACACCCTTACCTTTACATTTTTTTGCGCAAAACGTCCTTCTGTCAACTTTCCGTTAAAATGCTCCGTTAAATCAAAAAGGTAATTTTAGAGTGAACATGCAAAACTTCAATCTTTTACGATAGGCACATCTTTTTAAGGGTAAAATTTCATATCGAATAAATATAAAAAAGCATTAATCAACATACAAAATTTGAGCTACTCAGAGCTAACCTCTTAAAAAGGAAAAGCAAATCTTAATGTATAGGTGGTGGCTTGGTGGGGTTGTGAAAGTGGCGGTAGTGGAGAATTTAGGATTTATCTGTAATGTTTTGAAAGATTTAGAACTATGATTGCAATTAATTAATTATTTTTTCTTTTCTTTTTGTTCTATTTCAATAGGAGGGTAAAATCGTCATTTTATTGAAAAAATGGATGAAAATGACCTTTTGCGCAATGAAAGGTGAAATGTAGGGGTAAAAATGCTAAAAATGAAAGGTAAGGACGTTTTGCACAAATAATATTGAAAGGTAGGGACCTTTTCTGTTAATTATGCTAAAAAATAAAAGGTATGGACGTTTTGCACAATAACTTTGAAAGGTAGGGACCTTTTATGCTAATTACCTTTTTTATTTAACGGAGCATTTTAACGGAGACTTGACAGAAGGACATTTTGCGCAAAAAAATGTAAAGGTAAGGGTGTAATCCACCAAAAAATGAAAGGTAGGGATGTTTTCCACAAAAATATCGAAAGGTAGGGATGTTTTGTGCTAATTACCCAATTGTTTATAATCAAGTTGATCCTCCTATCTAAAATTTAAGACTAAAATTTTAGTCGAATAATGAGATCGAGACCAACAATGTATATGTTGACAATTGTTTCGGAATTTTTAACCCATTCGCATTTGGTTGCTTGGTCATTAATCTTATCCATAACCTTAAGTAAAATTTAGAGTGAACATGCAAAACTTCAATCTTTTACGATAGGCACATCTTTTTAAGGGTAAAATTTCATATCGAATAAATATAAAAAGCATTAATCAACATACAAAATTTGAGCTACTCAGAGCTAACCTCTTAAAAAGGAAAAGCAAATCTTAACGTGATATCGAAGTCCATTATCTTTGAAGATTGAAAACCAAATCTTAATAGTAATATAAATAAAGAAGAAAAAGAAAAGGGCAAAAAATGTAAAATGAAGAATTAGGATAGGAGAAAAGTGTAAGCCACAAGAATCCTGCTTTAGCTTTTTGGGTATTGGTTCTCTTTGCTTTTGAATTGAAGTCACATTGGTTTGTCTTAAAGCCTCCTCTAACCTCCCTTTCTATGGCAATGGCACACACACAAAGGCAAATGCCATCCATCCACACACTACGGATGCAAAATCGGAATAGTTCGTGAATTTAGTCTGTAATACAAATAAAATTGTTGAATTTATCTAGTGGTACATAATAGAACGTACCGAATGGTGTACACCTTATTCACATGGGTGTGGGACCCATGTGAAAGAAATGATATTTTATTCGAGTGGGTCCCTCGTCCATGTGAGTTGGGTGTACACCGTTAAGTACACCTCGATGTACCACTAGCAAAATCGAAAATTGTTTATGAACACTTCCAAATAAGCTTTGAATGTAACGAGTGGGTTCGTTTCGCACTAGCCATTTTTTAAGGCTTCACCAGTTCTACCATTCTGCCACAATTTTATGTTTTAGACAATATGAGTAAAATCATCCTATTATTGATTCAATGATTCATGTACAACATATCATGTGTTTCGTCTCACAACTTCCAAGACTGACAAAACTAAGGGGTTTTTTAGAGTGAACATGCAAAACTTCAATCTTTTACGATAGGCACATCTTTTTAAGGGTAAAATTTCATATCGAATAAATATAAAAAGCATTAATCAACATACAAAATTTGAGCTACTCAGAGCTAACCTCTTAAAAAGGAAAAGCAAATCTTAATGTGATATCGAAGTCCATTATCTTTGAAGATTGAAAACCAAATCTTAATAGTAATATAAATAAAGAAGAAAAAGAAAAGGGCAAAAAATGTAAAATGAAGAATTAGGATAGGAGAAAAGTGTAAGCCACAAGAATCCTGCTTTAGCTTTTTGGGTATTGGTTCTCTTTGCTTTTGAATTGAAGTCACATTGGTTTGTCTTAAAGCCTCCTCTAACCTCCCTTTCTATGGCAATGGCACACACAAAGGCAAATGCCATCCATCCACACACTACGGATGCAAAATCGGAATAGTTCGTGAATTTAGTCTGTAATACAAATAAAATTGTTGAATTTATCTAGTGGTACATAATAGAACGTACCGAATGGTGTACACCTTATTCACATGGGTGTGGGACCCATGTGAAAGAAATGATATTTTATTCGAGTGAGTCCCTCGTCCATGTGAGTTGGGTGTACACCGTTAAGTACACCTCGATGTACCACTAGCAAAATCGAAAATTGTTTATGAACACTTCCAAATAAGCTTTGAATGTAACGAGTGGGTTCGTTTCGCACTAGCCATTTTTTAAGGATTCACCAGTTCTACCATTCTGCCACAATTTTATGTTTTAGACAATATGAGTAAAATCATCCTATTATTGATTCAATGATTCATGTACAACATATCATGTGTTTCGTCTCACAACTTCCAAGACTGACAAAACTAAGGGGTTTTTGATAAAAATTTTAATAAAAGATTTAGTAGATTTTAGTAAAAATTGATGATGCGTGCAGTTGAATAATTGATAAGAATTGTAAGCCTCGTTAATTTTTTATAAAATTAATTATTGACTTTAACTTAAATTTTATAACAACCTTTAAGCTATACTATACAAGCACTAAATTAAATACGGCCAAAATTCAAGAGATGTTTCAAATCCCAAGATGAACTTTGAAGCCAATAATATATGGAGGTCGTCCTTATGATATGTCATGTGAATTATTG